TTCCATCATATTATTATTATATTATTAAATGTATTTAAAGAATAATTCCCTAAATTCGCTGGGTTAAATTGCTCAAGCTTTGAACTTGGGAAAGTGTTTGTGCACTTGCGTACTATACTTTATTTAGGCGGGAGATAAAAAGTGCTATTAGTTTTTTGTTTCTTGTCTAGTTTCTTATCTTTCATATGCTACTGCTTTCTCTTCTGCTTGCTTGTACTCTTCAGAAGCATTATTTCTCACGTTATTCTCAATAATCATTGCGATGTCGTTCAGCAATAACCACTCAGTTTCAAAAAAAGAAAAAGAAATCGCCGAAATGTTGGCCGAGGGAAGCTCGCTCGCTGTAAAATTACATGTACTTGTATTCTACTACTGCATTCGTTGACGATGATGTGTAAAGGTCATGATAGTTAAGTTATTCCCGGAATATTGTGTATTTAATAGGTCCAAACTTCCGCTGGGACAGTATGCGTGTCGCAGTCAATTTGAATATGTTCCATCCAGAGCTACCATTGCTTCAACGGTATAAATTTCAGTACTCATTTAGGTAGCTGCTACTAGTTTTCTAACTTTACTGATAGATTTTCAGGTACAAGGTTGCAGCTGCAGCTGGTTTTCGGCAAGTCGAAGTTTCACTTCCTTATTCAGAAAAAGCGGAAGATCTGAAGAACACTGCAGATTCTCTTGGTCTTGCCCATACACTCATAAATGCGCCAACAGGTAGCTTAGTTTTATAACACCATTCACAAGTAAAGATGACCATGGGGAACGACGACTGGAGCTTAGCGGAAAAAGAACAACCAACTCTATAACTCTTCCTGTGTCTAACAGAAAGCTTTCTCCAGCAAAGTATATGTAGGCAGCTGCCATGTAATTGATGACAGATGGTTTTCGGATCCAGTGTTGTATTGGAGCAAGGTACATTAATGGAAGTTGTTGTTAGAGTTTTCAATATTTGATAGTCAACTTCATATGTTTTTGCTATCAAGAAGAAGTTTTCTTCACGTTTGCTAAGATACCCACACAAAAAAGTTCCAAATGTGGCGCTTTCTTCTAATGGATAGCGGATACCCAGTCGACGCAGGATGTGTAAGTGGCAAACTCTGTTATGAATTCTGGCTCTTAGAAGAAAAATGGAGCGAGTGCTACGCGTTATGGAACCCCCATACGGCTGGATATGAATGCAGTATAGGAATAAAAGAGAAGCGGTCGGTAAAGCAGTGGCCCCGTTCCCGAACTAACCGTGACCGCAGTGATAATCACATGCATTCACAGTCAAACGATCAGCAGATTGGAGAATTATTTGAACATGAAACACCGCACAGGTGACCATAAATGGGCCCACCAGAGTAAGCTCATAGTGTTCGAGCCTACGGCAGCAATGTCCTGAGCGGTGTAGTGCGGTGGCGTCTAGTGAATGAAGCGCATACCGCGACGGTACGGAACCAGTGATGAAAGGAGATGAATTAGATTTTTTAATGTACTCTTTGTGCATGCAAAAATAAATACTAGAAGGAAAGCAAACAAGTTGTTGCAGGTTTTTGAAAGTTTCATGATGGCAAGACATTACGTTCGGTTTTTGAAAAACTTTATATTTTTATGGCTGCTATTGTGAACTGTCTGGTGCAGACAGCTGACGTTTGATTGTTTCATTTTCTCAAGGGTCATCTTTTAGGCGATTGGTCAAAAGGTTTCCGTGGCTTGGCCGCATTGTCTTCATGCAAAACAGAATTTCGGGAGAGCATTGACACTGCAATACATTACGCAAAGACATTGAAGTGTGACAAGTAAGTCTAATCTTGACAAACCTTTGCCTCTCTTCTTTGATGAGGAGTGAATAACCGACTGTTGTGCTATATCGGGAGCGTATCACAAAAAGTTGAACATGAGGATGAACACAAATGTTCGCTTCTTTTTTGTCCTCTACTGCAGGAAAAGCTTTGCGATGTTTGTTTCATTTCGTGAGAGTGCATCATTCAGAGTGCATGTCATGGCCGGTATACCTTCAAGCTCAGATACAGAAGTATCAAAGTTGTTTGTGGATAATGTTGCTTATGCAGCGGAGAAGTTGGGCAAGGTACTACTTGGAAAACCTTTCTCGGAACTGCTTTGACCTTCTTAACTTGATATCTTATTCTTTTCTAGGCAGACATTATGTGCCTCATCGAGCCGATCAATCATTACACAGTACCAGGCTACTTTCTTTCCTCTTATGAGCAAGGTTCTTGATAGGGTACTGGCAGATTGACTCAATCATGTTTCTGTAGTAATAATTTATTTGCAGCAAAGGCTGTCATTGATACGGTAAAACTGCCAAATTTGAAAATCCAATACGTGAGTATATTCTCTAAGAAATAGTTTTGCTTTCTACGATACATTCGCAATTTACAGGATGTTTTTCATGCACAGCAGATTTGTGGACAAATCTCAGCTTTCATAAAGAAGCACAAGGATTTAATAGGTAATGTCGAAACTTCTTGAAACTCCTGAGTACATGTGAATTGCCAAAAATGTTCTACCATGAATCATTTTNTTTTACAGGCTACATACAGGTGGCTCAAGTGCCGTCTCGTGATGAGCCACATACTCCTGGTGAGATCGATTACAAGTATGTATTTGGGCAGTTACAATCTGCGAATCCAAACTGGACAATAGGATTGGAGCACAACTTTCATGATAATCATGGTGCACCTAAAGATTGGGTTAAGCAGCTTGGATTAGACATGTAGATATGTTTTGTTTGTATGTAAATTTCTATTTTGAATGAAGTGTGGTCATTTATCCTAATTGCCCACATAACCGTGCCGTATTATGTTCATTTGAATGGAGAAGGGTCTGGTTGTGAATGTTGAACGTTTCTTTCTTCCTTTCTTTCGCTGACCATTGAGAGGCTGCAGCTGCACTGTGGGAAGGGAAGGACACGTGTGTGAAAACAAAGCATTTGTGTGCCGATGGAAAAGCATTCGCAGTTCTTGGAAGGAGAACTTTGGATTCTCAAATTGTGAATCATTAAACAGGCTCCAGTGATTCAGAAATTTCATCACAATGTTGTGATGGTGTAGGCACTTCGAAGCATTATATTGCTAGTTGTGTGAATATTATGACACTGATGGAATTCTGTTGGTGGTGAGACACACTCTTACATGTACATAATAGATCTGCTTTCAGTCATTTTCGCCGGCTCTTTCTCTCTCTACATACAACTTTGATATGGATTTTTTCCATTTGCAAATGTTGTGTGGTAGGAAGTAAAATTTTTACAGTGGCTGTTGTTGACTCACAACTACAGTGCGCGTCAATTGCTTATGCCACCCCCACATCTTCTTATTATCTCGGTTCCTACCTACTTCTGTCACATGTGACATACTGCACTACAATGGACTGTGTCAGAGACTCACATATACGAGAAATATAATGCTTCGAAGTGCCTACACCATCACAACATTGT